AAATTGGATCCAATTGGCTCTTCAAACCGTTCGTGTGGATTGGTCCTTCTCATCCTGCTGACTCCCGTTATTAGAATTGAATGGAGCATTTCAGTATGCCCCGGCTGACTGTAACGGAGTGACTGAACCTGACCACTCAGTATTTGTACTGGAGTTGGTCGATGCTCCCAATATTCGAGGTAACTGAATATTGATAAAATTCTCCTTACTTTTTATTTTCACTGTATAGTCGGGCGCGAAGGGGGAGCGAGCGAGGAGAGGGGGACGGGGTGTAGAAGAACGGTATGCACCAATTTACCCAATTACTGTTTGATTCAGAATATATCTCCGACGTCTTTGTCTAGTTCGTCGTCGTCACCTTCATTATCCATATCACTTTCATCTTCTTGCTGCGGAATCTCTGTACCTTCATTAAGGTCTTCCATATTCATCTCTGCGTGTCTTCGTTTAAATATTTTTACTCTCTTCCCTGCAATTGGTATTTTCAATTTTGTACCATCTAACTCCCGTAATGAGTAAGTCGCATTATCATGAACAGTTGTAATAACATATGGTCCAAACCAACGTTTTGAAAATTTCCGCAAAGTACTATGTTGATTATCCAGACTATTGTCATAAACAAGTACCCAGTCACCTTCCTCGATTGCTTTTGGTCTCAATCGATGTTGCTTATCGAATCGCGCCTTGTTTTGTAACCTTGCTCTTTTTAACCTTTCCAATGCTATCTGGACATCTTCCGTTCTTTGCTCCAATTGTCGAATCCTAATAGCCAGAAGTTCTTCTCTTGTCAATCCATCTTCCCATGGTAGCATACTCCAAGTAAGTACCTTTTCTTCAATCGACATAATTGGTTTTTGACCTGTCATAAGTTCTACTGGCATATATCCTGTCACCGAACTATGTGTTGTTCGATCAGCCCATAATGCAAATGACAAAAGCCGTGGCCACTCTTTAACCTTCCCATTACAAGCTTTAACCAATGCTTTCACAATCGGCGGGTGACCGCGTTCGCTTTTCGCATTTCCTTCCGGATTATAAGCAGTAGTCAGTGATAGTTTAACTCCACATTTTTCAAAGAACTTACGAGCTTCTTGTGCATTTAATTCTCCACGATCTGCAGTGATTTTTCCTACGCACCCGTAACGGCAAATGACATCTTCAAGCAAAAACCTACAAATCCCCTCTGTAGATTTTGTCCTCAATGCTCTTCCTTCTACTTGATTTGATAAATCTTCACAAGCTAAAACCAAATATCTTATCTGCCATAACCCAACTGGCATAGTAACCAAATCAACAACCCATTTAAAATGAATAGCCAGAGGATACGTAGGATGAAGACCATCTCGATGTCGGATATTAGAATACGATTGACAGATTTCACATGACTCTACAAATGAGAGCACATCTCGATACATATTTTTCCACCAATATCGTTCGTTGAGTTTAGCAAAAGTAGCCCAGATTCCTCTATGCCTTGCCCATAAACTATCATGAAACTCCTTTAATAATTTTAGTTTTTCTTTCCTTTTGCCTATCACTCGTTGTGGCATCCCAATTCCTTTCTTCGGTCTCTTCCATAAGAATCCATCTCGAAGTAAAAATCTATATGTTTTTTTTCTTATTTGTTTGAATTTTTTTGTAGACCAATTTTCTTGCTTAGTCAAGATATTCAAGTAATGACCAATATCCAATAATTCTCCTTCATAAGATTCTTCAAGAAATAGCTTGTCTTCTCTGTTGAGATTTGATATTGAATAGAATTTCAATCCGACATCATCAATGTCTTCAACCATTTCATCCTCCCTCTCGTATCTTGCTCGAGATAGCATGTCT